GGTATATGACATATACATACTGTAAACAGCATAAAGAACGTTCTCTTTTTTTTACGGCTGAAAAATATGGTCATTTGGATGATTGAACCGGATGGACGTTTCGGCTCGTGTATCATGAACATTCTTCAAGTTAAGGAGATTATTTCATTCGGAAGTTTTGTTTGGAGAAAGTAGGCGCGCTTTTGGTCAGTACTGCTGGTTAAGTAGTTTATTGAAAAGAAGGTGATGAGGTTCATCAGATCCGTGAGGAGTTCTTATCCGTTGTTATCAGTTAACACTGTCGCAGGAGCCAATGATTACATTCTCCTTAATGTTCCTATTCAACTACTGTCTTTCTCTGATAATGCCGGTTTTCTCATTGTTGCTTGACTTTGCTGGGGCGAAACTTGTTTTCTTCCCGGGTGCTTCGTTACCACGTATCGTTCGTGCTCTTCCGCGATCATCCGTCTCTTCCAGCTTGAAAGGTTAGTGGTTGTTCTTTGAGTTACGGTGTTTCGTGTTTCTCGTACATAAAATTTCCCGCAGTTGCATGCTAATTTGTAAACTCGGTTGAGTTGTCAGTCTAAGAATATCTAAGAATTACTTAATAAGGGGTACTGCTTTAACGTTACGCTCTCGACGATTCATGTTGATCTCGAATGTTTGTATTTATAATGAGTTTCCGGGATTCAGTGCAAGCGGAGGACATGTGGCATAGGTTATGACTTTATTTCGAAGCGAAGTTTCAGCGAAGCAGCACTGTAACGCCAATGTTCTTATCAACTTGTTTCTATTTATAGATGCGATGCAACTCGCTTCACCTCAGCTTGTTGTGTTGAAGCTGAAGTGCAATGATGCGGAGAGGGCTTGCAAATTAATCTCCCTGTATGTGGGTGGCGGTGGCACGAAAGTGAAGAATCTGTTGAGCACGATCTGCCTCGCTTTTGAGCGTGAAACTGTGGCTGCATGCCTTTCGTCTGATGTCGAATCGCCATTTCTTGAAAACTTAGTTTCAATTCTGTCTGTATTAACCGCCCAGCATTTAGGTAAGAACTGCGAATTTATTTAATTTTGTTATTCATATATCGTTGGCTTTGTTCATTCATGCACTCTCTCATTCATTCATGTTTTTTTTCGTCAGTTCCTTAACTAGTTGCTTTAAAGTTTTAAAGTCTCTGAGAGGGGGGCGTAAACACAAGTGAAGTACTGACATCGCTCTGTCGTTTTGTCGAAGATTTACTCAGTGCCTGTTGCCTCCTCTAGAAGCCTACCTGATTTAAGCAAAATCTAATATCCACCGCTTCCTTAGCGTTTTCATTGTCATCAATTAGAAAAATTTCCCCTAAATTGATGGTAGACTTGAGACAAAAGTATTTTACCAGTTGATTATTGGCTATTTTTACATACAGTCAGAATGATTTCAGCTTTCTTTCCTTTGGAAAAACGTTGAGGTTCTTATCTGATACTGTCGATCGCATTGCAGAAAGTATTCTCTGCTGGAGTGTATTTCACTAATCGCGCTACTGATTCAAAGGGTTGAAAATTCAACAGTTCAAAATTATAAATCCGAAACGCCGAGAAGGATAAAAGTTTAAAACGACTTATGATTGCTGATATGTACTCTAAGCAGCTGTTGACTGTGTTTAGACTTTTCACTTACTTTACCTTCATCAGTCGTTACCTCTTTTGCTGACTATACAAAGCGACGATTTTCCAACGATTTGATACGCGTAAGCATTGTTTTTTGTACGCACTTTACGCGGCTCCAACTGTACGCTGCAGGACAAGGATCTTCGATTGGCGCCAAGGTTTGGTCACGTGTACAAGTGGCTACGTTCGCACAGCAGCAGCGAGGCAGATGAATCTTGCGACATCTTCGATTATTTTAGTGAGCTTTTCTGTTTGGAAGCGAAGCCCGTAAACTTATTTTTTGATTGATTTTCACGCCTCATAAATCAAAACATCATTTTCAGGTAGAAGCCCGAATTGTTGCTTGCTCAATTTTGCTCGTTCGTTTCGAATCTGGGCCATTTGACTGCAAGGCCTCAACTTCACCGTTTGACATTGTGTTTTCTGCGCGATTTTCACAGCTATTAGACGCTGTCTCATCTTCGTAAGAGCGAATTACTTTTATTCTAATACTTTTCACTCCTAATTGGAGTGCGGACGACTTCGGCGTTGAAGATTTTCAATGCGTGACCTTTAGGGAAATATTTATTCTTGCAGTGTGTTGCAGCGACTGCCTGACCTTATGCATTAAATATTGTCGTACCCATTGAAACTGACCCTTGAATAGCTTCAGTATACCTGCGAATTCGCGTTTAAACTCGTTACAGACTTGTGAGAAAGTTCCATGTAAAAATATTTATATGCAAATTTCAGGCTGATGAAGCTCAGGGTAACTCAGGCGGTAGCGCCTTGAACTCATCGACGAGGTATCGTGGCTTTGATTCCTTACCGCGCTGCTCGCTTTTCACCTTGCTTAGGTAAATCAAGTAGTACCATCATATGGGAAAGAAGCAATAGACCTCGCGCCAGAGTTGCGACTAAGCTTTTGGCATGGCCTTCGACATGTGCGATGCTTCTGGCTGAAGGTAACATGGTGGAGATCAGTGTTACACTATAATCTATGCATAAACTTGCTATCATTCAGGGCAGTCTGCAGCAGAATAGCATCCCCACACCTACTGTCTTTCGTTTCCTAGTCTGGCTGATGAATCTCAATTGAAACCTTGTGAAAACGATGAGTGAATTAATGCTGTTGTTAAAATTATTGCTAGCTATGGCGATATGTTCTGAAAGCACTTGCGACACTGAATGCGAAGTTTCAGTTGAATATTTTCAGGGAATAGGTCATCATCAACAGTTGGGAATTTTCTGATGATTACCTGTGCTAATTTTGTAGAAGCAACAGGCCAGTGTTAAATAGAGATATTGTATTTGTCTATTATGCTACCAATCATGAAGTCGGAAGTTTGCCTGGTTCAAACCATCCACGACTCGGTATTGACCTGAGTTTAAAAGGAAAATAGTGAATTGATGAGTTATGCGCCAAGAATTAAGTGTTTTGAGATTTGTCCAAAAGCCAATAACATTTATAACAGGCATCATTCCCCAGGTGTTTCTGCCAGTGTTGTGCTGCAGTTGTTTCTAGAGGTATAGAAAACCATTTGACCCGGCAGTGAATTTCATTTATTGTTATATTTGCAATGCGTGCATGCTCTGAACAAAACACTTTTGGCTGACTTATATGTTGTTCATTTCTTTTTGTGACCATGTTTCATTCAGACCCTTAGTCATGATTTTAGGAAAATTTTTAATGCTGAAGATGACATTCACGAATTTCATGCCAATTTATGGCGAACTATAAACCGTTTGCTTGAAAATGGCAGTTATTGGACTTTTTGGAGCACTGCGCAGTTTAATTGCGTCCTTTCGAACTGTATGCAGAGCTTTAATATGGTGGACATCAATCACAGATTCATATTGCTAGGCACTGTATACCTGCTTCTGCCTCACGTATGCGGTGTATGTTTCAAATCAATCGAATATTACTGCTGTTATTTATAGGTGCACCTCAGCAGCAAAGCGCTCGTATGCTTGATTGAAAAATGTAACCAATTTCTTTCTTTACAATGCAACGCCGTTAGCCTGCAGCTGTATCTCCGAGAGTTGGTAAACGTGACATATCATGCCATACTGACATCGAATGACAACGTTCCAGAGGTTCACAAAAAAATAAGACAGGTGATATTAAAAAACTGACTAGAAAATCATGTCGTTGTTTTAACTGATATTTATACATTAGAATATGAAGATTAGAAACTCTTGAAAGATCATTTGTGATCGGCAAGAGAGCCCAGAAAAACAGAACCATACGAGATGTACCCAACGCTTCAGCCTCAAATACCAGTAGTAACATCCTTTTATGATCCCCTGTGCAACTGGTGCAGTCACAGTGAAATATATTTATTGAGATATGCACCAGTACTGAATACTACACATGGCTGTCAATACGGCAAAGGCCTTGTCACAGGGCTTTTCATGTTGTCTACATTGTCGGGTTTCAAGAGTGCATCGACTTGGTTATGTAGTTGTTCAGCATCGACGGATTTTCGTTGCGACGTATTAACTATGGATCACGAATTTGCCACTCACAGAAAGGCGGCATTAGCTTTCATGTGACATTTTTTAACAAAGCATTAAACCACTAACGAATTCAAAACTCATATTCGATTATTCTTTGCGCTTTTGGAAAAAGAATTCATCGTCAGCAACTTTGGTTGCAATTAGGTTAGAATTAGAAGTCGTTAGAATTTTATTCATTCGAATTAAGGTTCATCAAGGCGGTTTTTTGTCACACTTATTCCGAGTAAGTTTTATTTGCTAGCTGCGTTGAGCTTCAGATCGCGCTGGATGCAACTTCAGGGCCATAACATGCAAAGAGTTTTCAGAGCACGTTGAGAATTTTCAGCAAATACTATTCAGTTAGTGCAAACGGTATTCGCCGATGCTATCGTAAAACTGTTTAGGTGATGTGGCTCATATGGATAGATTCAGTTTGATCTAAAATATCGGATATTATGCAAGCAGTATTACTGTGAGGCATCGACTTACTTTAAAAATGTTTAGAAATAACTGTGTACCTGCATAGCGATTTCTAATAATATTTATATACCGTTTGAAATTGTCTTGCGTTTCTCTTATTTACTTCTGCTTTATTTTAAATTTAAGTGTAGCATTATTATTTGTGTTCCTCCCTTCGAATTCCAGCTTAAGAACGTGCCATAATTTTTATGTCTATTGGTTTTATAGGTAGGTTGGCTCGAGCATCGAAAGTTGTTTTTAAAAAGACCGTCACTGCGGACTCTCTGAACGGTAGAAATGAGATCTAGAATATTCAAACCTTGATATTGCTATGGTTTCGTCCCGTAACATCTATCATAATACATAATCCTTCGCGCAGGGTTGCAGGGAATGTGTTTCAGATACATGAGGCCATTTGAAAAGTGTACTATATTCTATGTGTTATATGGACCGGGGGCGTGTAATCTAGAATATAAGCGGCAGGAGTTTGGTTTTATCTAATTATCGCTTGTGTGACGAGACGGAACGAGGTTTCGAACACAGGACTCTTGGCTTGCGAACCTTTCTTTCTCCAAGTATAGAGGTCACATTTGTATATGGATTTTATAGTGGTTTGACGGGAAAGGAAAGTTGGTCACGTTGGAATGTCGGTTTTCGTTCACTTTCATGATTAGGCCATCTTGGCGTCTTTTTTTCATGAAGTTAATGTTGCGGTGTTTATCTCTTCTTTGCCATCAACCAAGAGTGACATTTTAATAGTCAACAGTCTATTGCAAGTGTAGCGTGTAGTCTCCTCTTTCTTTACCACAAAGTGGTACTCATCAATCTCGGAATGAAGAAGGGCGAATGACCCTGACTTAGGCTTATCGGTTTTGATCTCGACATTCTACCGACTGAGCAACTGCGGTCAGAGGCAATGTGTGGTAAAGTTTTGATCATGGGAATTCGTGAATCAGATGAAGGTTGCCCATAGACTCATGGACAACTGTGCCAACACGACACGCTTGGAAATTGGGAAAGGGAGATGTTTGAGTCGTACTCTTTTGCTTTGATAGCAACTTTTGTGGTTTGAATATGTGAGAAAAACAACATTGAAATGATTGCAAGCTAATACTGTGTCCATGCAGGTGAAAAATACGAAGTAAGAATATGGCGAATGAAAGATTTGAGGCAGTTTTGAGGCCAGACAAAACCGTAAGCTAGCTTCAGATATATCATGTGACGATGGTGGAGACCTATATGGAATGCGCTGACCATTCTCTCCCCATTTCGTAATACTGGAATGAGGAAGAAGTGACGAAGAGCATAAAGTTATTTGTTGTGCAACGCAGCCTAGTAGTCTGTCAAGTGATAGACAAACATTTTGGGTTGCATCTCAATGACTTTTTTCAGGGTAATGAAGGTTATAATTTTCGGGTGTTATGGAAATCGCCTGTAGCCTCATTTTGAGCTATGATACCCCTGACTAAATAAGAGAATCGTCAGTGTAATTTTTATTACCCGATTTATCACCATATTGCATTGGGTGTAATAAAATCTTTTTGTGCTGCTTCTTCAGTTTGAATGCCAATGTCCGTACAACATACTTCTCAACAAAATATACATGGAACTAAAGAAATTAGACTATTTTGAATTAGTTCATTTCGTTGTTCAACGTATTAAGTATCTGCCGCGACCGAAGAGCTGGCACGAGTACGAACCGACTGTGCTCAACGAACTTCGATCATTCATATGAAGTTATTGAAAAATGTATTTTGTATCAAAAACTGTGCTTCTTAACAGTTTCCTTTTTTCTACACTTCCTTGCAGCACTGTGAGTAGCCAGATTGGTGACGTATCCTATACTGTGCTCCAGTATAACACGGCGCTGGTACCAGTACTCAGCACATACGTTTCCAAAGATGCATTTATGCGACATGGAACAAGTGCAGAAATAGTAGGAAACGATTTGTCGGCTCAAGGGTCCGTAGTGATAGTGTTTACGTCTAAACTACTGAAGCTTTGTCTCGAAGGTGAATTATGGATGGTACGCAGCTTCTATTCTGGCTGTCCTGGCGATCAAAAGATTGCGATTTCTAATCTCAGTTAAAGTCTCTCCTCCAACATCTTTCTGACGTAATTAAACGAGCATCTTTCTCTATGGGAAAGAAACATAAGACTGTATGCAGTCCTTTCGATGTCTCTATAAGTATACACTAATCGACAGGTGTACGCGTTTGGCTGGAGTATTGAGTTAAAAGGAGAATGTCTCGAAATGGTCACTATATAGGTTATTATTTCAGTGATACATTTTACCTACTCGGTGTTGTGATGTCACATAACCGTGTTCAAGCTACATAGAGTTTGTAGGTATCAGACTCTTTGCTACTGATAATAAGCAGTGCCTTGCCGGTTCACGCGCTTTGCAAGAAGCTGTACGAGCTAAGCGCTCTGCGAAGGAGGACGTTTTTCATGGAGGAGGCGGTGGAGCTGCTGTTCGAATTGTTTACGTTCGATGACGTTTCCGGTCGATGCAACAGGTGTTTTGAACGCGGTTACCGAAATTAATCATTTAAAGTGATTTTCAGGCTCATGTGTTCTGTGAGGAGTTTGTTCGATCCCCAGAGCCTAAATTGTATCGAAGAAAACGTTCCCAAGTACATGAATTCAATAGTCTGTTTTGTTTCGCAGTTAGTTTTAGCGTATTTTTTGACGTGTCATAGACTCGTGAACGACGTTTAATGACTTTGTTTTACACATATCCACAAGACAGACGTTTCGCACTAAGCTTCGTTCGTCTTCAGAATCATGGAATTTGGTTCGAAGCGTCGCTTGTGCAAGCCTGTCTGTGTATAAAATTGGGTTGGATTGTTCACTCATTTCTGGCGTGCCAGAGGATATAATTCATCTAAGTGTAAAGAAATATGAAGAAACTTGTCCTGTATTCATTGTTTTAGCGTCAAATAAGGCGTCACTCCTCCAAGATCGGATTTTTGTTTGATATTAGTTTTATTCTATTTGATTTTTACAGTATATTGCACCATTTTTGTTCGTAGTTTGACAGGGGAAATTTAAGCAAGCCAAAGCTACATGGTACTTAAGCACCTGCAGTGCCAGATGCGTTTCATATCATATTGTTCGTTAGAGATAGCTCGCGCTCATTACAGACGATGTTTCCGTAGCTCTATTTCTTATATGCTACCGCGTGAACATAAAAATGTGTTCATCCGCTGGAGTATTTCAAATAATGTGTAACTCCTCCAAAATTAGGCTTAGCTGAATATTGCGCGGCCTCGCATTTTCCTAGCTGCTTAGAGGGGTCATTGATGTTTCTGTGGTAGCGTGTAAAAAGTACTAACGTCTGAAGCATCTTTCGTAATGAGCAGATTTCATATCGTTATTGTGAAGATCGCTAGGGTCGTTTTTCCCAATATTATCTTTGCGCTGTTTCGTGTCTATTTCGTCATGTGCATGAAGTCGCCCATCAGAATGATGGATTCTGTAGTCAGCTAATCGTTCAGTCATCGCCTCGTACTTCGTTCGGGAATAAGATGCATGGATCTGTAACGGTGCCAAAGTTTCCGCCTGTTGCTGCTTGCAGCCTACATCGGAGAACTGTCATTCTCTCTCTGAAATGTTTCCTTTCCTTGACTATATTAACCAGTTTATGTTCGGCCAGAATAATGACACCGGTCTGAGCGCGTGTCGTGATATCGACTCCTTCGTAGAACACCTTCCACCTTCTGCAGAGGTTCAGAATTCCAGAACCCTGACGCTTCGTTGACGAGAGTCAAACTGTATCGAGTTGGTACCTTGCGGACGCATCATCTAGTTCCTGCATTTTCTCTGAGTGGGGAGGTGTTTCAGTTTCTGAATTAGAGCTCTCACTGTTGACATCGTTCACTCATAACTGATCTGATATGCCATAATGGCATGACGCTGTGTACTTCATCTGTCTAGAACGAGCAACGATTCCGCTGCTGACTGGTACCTCCGGCATCTTTGCGTTGATCTTCGACAGGTAGCGTCGTGTTACTGCGCCTCTAGCTGCCACAAGGCATAAAACAGTTACGATTAGTGACTTTATGACGGCCGCAGTTTTCCAACAGCCTGCGCGGCGATGACCGAATTAGTGTAGCTTTTAACAACGTCATTACCGTGAAGAATAGGTGGCTAAGGTTTAGGGGAGTCCGGTGCGGTTCTCAGTCCTCCTCTTCATACGGGTTTGGATTGGCATTGGCAGAGTTACTAATTACTAATCCATGGTTAAATCATATTTGAGTCATTGCATTGCACCGAAACATTCCACATAACTTTTCTGACTAATGCGCTACTCATCGTCAGGAGCTTTCAGGAAGCGATTCTCCTTATATGCGCCTGCAAAATATAAGATATATAGTTCTTCATGTACAGTCTGTCAGTGAACGTCCATGCCAAAGTCCGTATCCTATGAACTTTGGCATTATCTCCGTCCATTCGGTATCTGATGATATATAATAGGTGATGCACCATATGAAATCATGTGTTGGATGAGTTGTGCGCTTACGAGCCAATATTTTTTGCTTTTTGACACTTCGATGAAGCTGTTTTGACACCTTAATGTACCGCGATTATGATTTGATATATTTCCCAGATTTATGCCCGTCGCCGCTTTACATTTACTCGCTTATGTAATATATCAACATCTTTGTGGACAAATCTGAAATCTTTGTTACACTTTAATTTCAGACTTACTCATTTATTTTATTGTTCATTATGTGCAACCGTGGTCAAATAATGGACGCAACGGACTGAGTACAGCGTGCTATTTGAATCTTGAAAGAAATATTTTTTTTTAAATTTACAAGTTTGGCAGAAGCTCGAGAATTTACTATATGATGTGCAGTTTGTGCACGATATCTGCAGTTTATGCAGATTCTAACTCCCGGTCGCAAGATTTCATCAGAGCGGTTGGGCCGAAAAGAAACCTTCACATTCTGAAAGTAAGGAAAAGAGAGTTGGTCGCTGTTGCAGTGTCGGTCTTCATGCATTTTGATGATGGGCCAGTTGGGCGCTCTTCTTTTCATGAGTTGATGGTACGTACTGATCTCTCTTTCTATCCCATCAGCCAGGAGTGACTTTATTTTTTATGTCTTTGTCTCCAGCCATGTGGCAGGCGTAGCGTGTAGTCTCCTGTTTCCTTCCCACAGAGTGGTGCTCATATTTCATCCTCGGAAGAAAGAAGGACGGGAGACTCAGATCAGGGTTTGAACTCAGGACCTGTCAGTTCTGAATTCGATGCCCTACCGATTGAGCAACCAGGTTTGAAGCAAGGTTTCGTAAACTGATTGTTCAAGGGCATTCGTGAATATGACAAAGATTGCTCTCGAGCGGAATCGAGCCCCTCAGCGACTGTGTTCGAAGCGGGCCTTTTAGACAACTGAAGCATACCACTGAAGCGAATACCCGATTATTAAATAAGGACGCCTTTCGAAATGTGTGTTTTTGTTTAATTGTCGAAGCTGAGCATCATGGCCGTCACCCAGATTCACTAATTTTTCTTGTTGCCACCGGCACACAACAGGATTCGACTGTAAAGTCATCACGCAACAAATATTAACAGGAGGAGGCAAGTGCTCGTTTGTAGTGTCGCTATTTCTTCGTGACGCAGTCCTTGCGTGTGGCAGTAACTGGTGCCTTATAGCGAAGATTTTGAAAAGCTGAAGGTGCAGTACACATTACAGGCCGCAAATGTGGTGGAGCCATTCATGCTCTCTGTGGACTTCTCTGCTTCTCTTCTCAGAGGAACACTGCTGGACATGAAATATATTTATGATACAGCAGGGATTATGTATGCATGGTCGTCAAGCTAATTTTACCCGATGCCGCGTTTCATTGTCTTCTGCGACAGTGGTCGGACTTCCGGACTTTCTATTCAACTTCGGCGATATACCAGCTTTCCGCAGTATTATTGTACTTTCGCGGCGAAGGAAGCGTGTCTTTGTCTGATTGGCTTTCAGTCGATCAGTTAGCGTTCAGCTGATGGTCAGTATTCCGATTATCTGCATCTTTTGATATTCCATGAAGCTGGGTGACGCATTGTCTGTTGACCTTTCGATGCTTGAGTATCATCTGATCATCCATTTGAATCGTCAGCTTGCTGAATAACCAGTATTACACAAAGGTAATGTTGACGCACACGGATATGGGTGGAGCTTTGCTGGCTGCAAGTTTCGATTTGATGCAAATCTCGTTTGAAATGCAGCTTTTAAGCGTGTTCGTTGAAAAGATTATGAAGTTACTTAACACTGTTTTAGCGATTACACATGCATTTGGCGAACTCGGATTCGCGCAGCAGCTGCCTTGCTGAAAATGTTCAAATTGTCCGCTCAGGTGGTCGAAGACATTTTGAAACAGTTTCTCCGTACGCTGAATGAACTGATCGAGTCGAAGAAAATGATCAAGTATGTACCGGAGATGAATAGTTGCGATATCGGTATGTGATGTGACATCGATAATCAACACTTTATACACGTGACTTGCTATGATGGTCTGTAAAATTTGAGCGTAAAATTAGCATTATTTCGATAATCCTTATCCTTTTCTTTTTTATTCATCCAGAGCACTTTTGGCCATAAACAACATGCAGACAATCCTAGGTCAGCTATGGCTATGGACGATAGAAAACTAGGCAGTACGTTATTCCAACCTTTCGGATTCGGAAGTCGGAACTTGCCTGTAACTATTACGCAAATAACATAGGACATGTTTATGATGGCTGGATACCGTTCTGGAAAAGTAGCGGGATTAGGCATGCATACCAGCTGAAAATATACCACAGAATAGTTAGTTTTTGAAAGATATTTCAAGTTGCATGTCGGTGTGCCTGCATAGTTGTGTGTGATAAGGGCACATATGTTCGGCACACAGATTTGGACACTAATCGGGTCATTTCTATTCAGGCTTAGCATTTGCAGCAGCTTGCACCGGTTGTTGTTGTTGAGAGAACATTTTCTTACCAGGTCATGCATGATCTTGAAAGCACTGTTGCTCTGTCATTTTTTCTTGAAATTCCTCATAAGTACTGTTTAACGATACCCTGCCGAAATTAACAAGTAGTTAAGTGGGTGTCAAACGGCCAGCGGCTGAATCCGTTTCACGAGGTAAAGTAAATGATTTCGGTTTCTATCTACAATAGCTGTAGCGCTTCCAGCCATAGGCATTGATTCTGAAGAAGTTTCGTCGGATATGGACTGCAACGCCAGCAGTGGTCCACCCTATCGTCACCATCAGTGTACAATGTACAACAATAAACACGTAGCAGATTCTAATCACGAAAACATGTATCCTTTGAGTGACAAGGTCTTTGTTCCTTGTGAGCATGATGGATGATATCATTAGCCATATGTCACTCATTTCGTGAGAGCCCAAGTATTCATTATAGAGCCGGCTTGTTGGCCACAATAATCAACAATTCGATGATCAATGTTTCAAACTTTAGTCGTTTTTCATCGAGCAGTGTTACGTTCTTACGACTTAATGAATATTTAAGGTAGAAAGCATATTATGTCATGCCAGGTAGATCTGCCTCGACATTTCTTGACGTTGCCAGGCTTTCTTTAAATCATTCGTCCAAATATTACGTGATTTTTCCGGCACACAGATTCGCGCTCGTTGCACTGTATCATATTTGCGAATTTCTTTCCTTGACCGTTTCTAACTTCCTGAGCTTTCAGTTAATCTGTGACTCCAGAATAGAGCCTGACACGATATATTAAAACTTTTTGTGGCATAAATTCTCCAAGACCTAGTTTCACCGCGTTTTAAATCTGCTGGTTCATCCTTGTCTGAGGGCGTTCAGTCAAGCCACAGCCCCGTTGTATGATTCTTCTTTCTTTGGATATTCTTTTATTGCATTTTAAAAGTTTAAGAGGTAAATTGGGTGGTTAAAACATAATTTGTTGCGAGAACGTTTAATATTAAATTTGTGCCTTAATGAGTTCGCAAATCACGGGTTTGGTGATTAATGATGTTAATGTTAAACAGCGTTTAATTTTTTGGTGTTTATAATGGCTTATGATATCCACTTTTCCTAGACAGCTTTATTTATGTTCTATTTCATTTTTGTATGCGAATTTATTTGTAGCTGTTTATGTGTTTCACATTCACGTGTTGCCATATTATTATTACAAACTTTCAGTTTCGAAGAAAGGAGGGGTATAAATATTGTTATAATTTGTAAGGGTCGAAATGCTGCAAAGTCAAAGTGCGTCCGGCTCAGTCAAGGGATTGAAAATTCCATTATGATTTTTAATGAATCGAGCCAGCAGAAATGGCAGGCCTATGTGGAGCATGACTGGGCAATGTTCGCTGTTGGGAATATCTTCTGATGTAAACTTTGTACACGGCATTGCTTGACCATATTGATTCCACGGGTCATAAATCAGACGTTCAGTGTATAGCATTTCACCCATCATGTTGATCTGAAAGTGGCACATTCTTTGGCTTTGTATACTGAAATGCTTCCTTTCAGCAAATGCCTTAACATTTGCTCTTCTACACGGTTATTGCCGTTATAGTTCTAAAGGATATGCTGAATAGGGAGGCGGCGGTGGTCTAATGGATGGCTTGATCGTTGGAGCAGCAGAATGCACCACTGTGCAAGTGGTGGCATGTGAACATTTATCACAGTTTTATCACCGATTTTTGTGGAGATAGAGTGCGAGGAGATTTGGAGCCAGATTTGAACAGAATCATTAAGTTAATGTTTTTCGTACATTCAGATCGGTGCTCTTGGGTAATATCTCTCAGAGATTGGTCTATATAGCGTTTTTGAGATGGGCAAAGATATCGACGAGTTTTGACTCTGTACCAGCTGCGCAAGATAATTGCGCATTTCTCTGAATGATCTTTCAGTGTACATACATGATCCGCAGGGACTGTCCCAGCAATAGCAAATCAATGATGATAAGATTCTTTGCGCCTTGGCACGAAACAGGGAAGAGCGCGTGACGGTTGTCATCTTTTTCCCTTGCAGTCTGCTAAGCCGTTGCTAGTCGACTTGACAGAAATATAGAGAGGAGCACTCATGTTAATCTGGGTTTGGTGGCTCTGTGTGATTCGGCCGGTTAGTATGACTCATACGAGTTACTTCTATGAATTGCGCTACCGTCTTATCAAAAAGAAGTTCTTGCATTTAATCCCAGGTCATCGATATATCTGCTTTTATCTAAGTAAGTCCACTTTGCCGTGGTTTGTGACTTCAAGTTCACTCGAGGTTGGTGGATGGAATGGCATGTATTAGCTTGGGATTGAGCAGGTTGTCGTTCAGCCAAGCACAGTAATGTGATTTTGAATTCATGCATTTCAGGTGCAATGATATCAGTTGCCTCGGTCTGTTTAAAGATTTTCGTGTTCACTACAGTGACAGGTACAGTGCAGTTACTAATCTAATCCATAGAAACGACTTGTCTGTTATGACATCTTCTACTGTTTTACATCATTTCGTTTATTTCTCGTTTTTGCTCATTGCTAAGCGATCACCTTCTTTAGACTGTATCCAAATTCACCATTGCACATCCGCTTTACGCGCTTCCTGCAGCTGGCGCTGATATTTCAACCTTATATTCACTTGGACGAAACAGCACGACAGTTTCTGGCCATTTGCTGCATTTTCTTCGAAATGGCTGCCCAGCCATCGGTAACGATTCTCGCCGAGTGGATCAGCTCACGTATCTGTGTTCAATTTCCCTCTATTCTCGATTATTGGCTTGAAATCGAATATGAGGTGAGATAAGACGTTTTCGTTGCGCTTTCGATAACGTGTCGATTTAAGATGGCCGAATCGCGCATTGGCAGCGTACGTTCGTGGATCTGGGTTTACTTGCGTGCCATCATCGTCAGAGCTAAATGCGAAACTGATTTTTTCACAACGCAATCAGTGTGTTGTTTGTTGTTTTATGTCATAAATCGTAAAAATATTTAAACAATGATTTTGTATTTTTTCGTTATTCATTTGATAGTATTGTGAGGTATACCATGGCTTTCAGTGATACATTTTAAAAATGTTATATGGCAGGATAGTTCGACGAAATCAATGCCTGTTTTCTTCGGATTAAGCACAGTCAACTGCAGAATAGCGTTAAACAAATAGACGATAATTAACAAATAATTAGAAAAGTAGGGCGACAAATTAGTTACTCGATCTGATCAGCGTCCACTTTTCTGGCTCATGGTTTAAGGCAGCAAGTTACCAG